AAAAGAAGATAGCACTAAAGGAAAGAAACTTGTTGCAAAGATTAAGAACTATGATCCCTTAAATCAGAAAATCATCCTCTTGATCCTGTGCTGTCCTTAATTCCGTGCCCATAAATGGTGCCAAACCAGGTAACTGGAGCAATTTTAGGAAATAATAGATGACAGCAAGTTGCAGTAGTGAAGGCAGGTCATGAATGCTACTGCGACAGCTGAATACCATGAGCATTTGATTAAGAAAAATCTCAGCCAGACAGGATGAGGGACTGATGCATCTTAGATAAATCTTTGTCTCTGTTTTTTAAAAAGAAATTTTTATTTCAGGGAGAAAGAACACCCAGAATTTTCATTTCAACAAGCTGTGTGTGTGTTTTGAAATACAAATCTCTCTAAAGGGAACTTTTCCTCATCCTTTTTCCTCTACTTTTAAACAAGAGCAGTTCATGACCATGTCTATCTTGTCAGTGCCCATGAACGGCACTCAGGCAGAGCAGCTGCAAAAGGAGCTGAAGGCCCAGGATGGACCCCTAGGTCTATGAAATAAACATGCTTAATGGCAGAAGGCTGTGTTGGCACCAAAGGCAAAATAACAATATTTTGGTCATATGTAGACAATAAATAAACTTGTACCTGCTAGCATATCTTATAAATAGTTCTGATATTTGTTTAAATTGTTCATTTATTTTTTTAAAAAAATTACTTAATTTTAATTTATCATTATTTTTAAATTTGCTACAAGGCATCTGCACTCGCCAGAAAGCAAACCACCAGGTCCAGGACTTGAACTGTGGCTGGCTATGTAGGAGTCCAGTGCCTTAACTATCAGGCCAACTGCTGGCCCCCAAATTGTTAATTTCATAACTTAGGAATTAATACAAGAAGCCAGGTTAGCAGTATACCTTGAAAGAGTGATAATCTGTTGTACCTTTTTACCTCTCTGAAAATCCGTTCCGATAACCCTCAACAGAGTTGCCGACCATCAGCCAATTATTTAAAAAGTAAGATAAAAAAGAACTTTGAAAACATCTCTACTAAATCTTTCTGTTTAAAGAAGCTTGGTTATATATCTGTGCCCAGGGACTATCACTTTCTATGATTAAAACATATGGGCCCTTTGAGATACAATATGTAGAATGATCTATTTTCCTTGCTAATGTCCTCAGTAGGGAACAGAGCTCTGCGTTGGAGTGGGGGATGTAGTTTGCCTTCCCATGTCCACTGGTGGATTAACTGCACCAAGAAGAAAGCTGCTGAGTTAGTCCTTGTCTTTATTTAAATTAATGGTTTTGGCTATTTTCCCATTTTATTTCTTCTGTCTCTAAGTACCAAATCACTACAACTTGCTTTATGTCTGAAACTGTTTAAGGGTAGATTTGAAACTAAAATTTATTTGGTAGACTGAGATTCTTTTTCTTCATAATTTTGAAAGCATTTCATTAGTAGGGTTAATGGCAGTAAAATTAGTGATGACTTTGGTAACTGACAGAAAAGTGCACAGGACATATTGTTCACCTCGCCATATAGAAAAAAAATACACATGTATGTCTCTGTCTCTGTCTCTGTCTCTCTCTCTCTCTCTCTCTATATATATATTTATGTATATATATGCATGTCTCTGTGCTTCCATTTTTTTCTAGAGCAAAAATTATGAGTATAGGCTTTATATGTTTAAATTGATAGAGTACTATCTTAAATTTGACTTGTTGCTAGTTTAATTGCTTGGACAATTCTTGTATCCTCTCTAGGTTTCTATCTCCCCACCGTCAAGACAGGTTTAATAAACCATTCATGACAGGGGGCAACCTGAAGGTCAAATGGACTGATGAATGTGATCACTTAACACAGGTCTGACGCATAATAAGGGCTACTAATATTAGTGCTGCTTACTATTTATTTTTTATCACTAGTTAATAAATTCATATCTAAGAAAAACTTGCTTTAAAAGGTCATTAGCTATAGATGAACCTATTAATTTGAATAAAACCAGAGTATGAGAGTATATATTTAGGGGAATCCACAGGGGAAATATTTAAAAATCTCTTTGTCCCCACCAAAACACTCATTGCTTTTGTGAGGGGAATTATGTATCAGTATGAAAATGGTGTAGCAGGGCATCAATAACTGAGGCATTTAATATATCCACTCTAAATCTTCAATTCCAAGATTTAGTATCATCACTATTTAAACAAGGTAATACTTTAATTTAGGATAACATTTCAGATATAAATGTTTTTGAAGAACTATGGTACTTTTACATTTCCTAATGTACTAATTGGTTATTTATAATCATCCACTTGGATAAAAATATCTCAGTATGCTCAAAGAGCAGGACTTTATAAAGATGACCAGTAGATAAAAAGCATGCATTAGAAGCAGGAAATGTCATAGACACAAGCAGAGATCGCACTAGGTTAACGCACACAGGGGAAAAGTTGTCGTAGAGATGGAATGAGCTCACTTAGCTGAAAGCGAGGGCCATGGTCATGACCACAGCACGGCGTCTTTAATTCTCAGAGAAGTCCAGAATTCTGTCACTGGAGAATTTTCTATGGGACCAAATAAACGATCCCATATGAATACGTTTCATTTTCTATAAAGTAAAAGATGTAAACTGTTGCTGTAATTCTTTAGAACAATCACAAAAAAGTTGAAGGATGCCTTTTCTGGTCTTAATGGTAATTCAGTTTCCCAGATCTGCTAATGACCTATGACCTCCTAACCTCTCCTCACTTGGAGAACAGCAAGGCTGACAAGGAGGGTAGATGGGGCACCAAAGGACTGGTCTAGAGGGGCAGTTCACACCATGACCTTCCGAGACACTAGGATAGCACTGTTAGCAGTTCGGTCGCTTTCCTAACCTCAAAGATTGCCATTTGTATATTCCCACATCCTTACCTCTCTGTGGTCTCTATAGTTTATTTTCCATTTGCCTGGATTTAAAAAAACATTTTTTTGATATTTAAAAAGTTTCTAAAAGCTCATATACTTTTATGTTTTGAAGGCAAGAATAGTGATTATCCTTTAAAAATTAAAATCCTTACTATGTCAGGAAATTAGTAAGGATGCTAAATATACATATATAAGGTCTATATTTCTGAGATGCGTTTAGAGAAATGTGTTAGGTGATTTCAAGATCATGTGGATATCAGAGTGTACTTACGCAAACATGGATGGTATAACCTTCCGCCCACTTAGCTGTAAGGTATAATCTTATGAGACCACCCTCAGAGGTGGTCTGTCTTGACTGAAGTGTCGTGTGGCTCATGACTGTGTCGTATACACAGATGCCTAAAATATTTATTGCCAGGTGGTAGGTGTGCTCACAAGAGGCAAGGAGAGGAAAACGCATACTCTGATAGGGTGTGGTTTACATCACAGTCCTGTCTCCCTTTCTCCATCCTGGTGGGATCTGAGGCATGTGTGCACATATGCCTGGCATGTTTTTCAAGCTGTGGCCAGGATTTGAACTGTGGTTGGTCATGTGGGATCTGGTGCCTTTAACCATTAGGTTCCAGGGCCAGCCCAATCTTGAATTTTTAAAAATAATTGCTTATCTTGCCTTTTCCAAACTTAGTACCGTTTCCTCAGAAAAGTCTTGTTGGATATCACAGTTTTACAATGAATCTACAGGCCTTGCTACTACAGCAACTACTCTTCAAATTGCTGTTGTCATACTGAGTTCTCCTGGTGTTTACAAAGATTAGGAGGTTCCTAACTGTACCCACATTGTCATGTTACCCCCCACTCTCTGTCCTGAAAGCTGATGGTGGTTGAATCTGGGTAGGAGTGGGCTTGCCCCATGGAGGTGCTCTGGGGGAAGCCTTCCAGCTGGCCCTGGCGGTGGGTGTGCTGCGTCTGCCCTGCAGGGTGCTGGGTTGCAGGTAGTCTGGAGGCCCAGGCTGGTGATGTAGGAGCCCACTGATCAGAGCACAGACCAGCCACTGTCGGGATTTGGGCTCTGGACTGCTGGAGTTCATTTGAAGCTGTTCTAGGTTGAGGTAGGGCTCTCTTCCATCTGCTTCCATTAATAAGGGGTCCTCTTCAAAAGAACTGAGGCCCTTTGCTGGTTTGCTGGTTTGCTGTCGTTATTCTTTTAATGAAACCTCCATTGATACTATAAAGACTTGGAGCAAAAAGAATTGGCATCACATCTCTCATGACTTCAATAAACCTCTTGCGATTCAATGGTTTCATCAGGGACGGCCTCATCCCTTGGGTGAGGCCAAGAATGTCCGGCAGGATCTGAGCAGAGCTATGCTATGGCCATGGGCGGGGCGGATTCCTGAGGGTGCCTTCCAGCCTCAGCAGGGCTCCCTGGACTCAGCATTCGCGTAGTAGACGGTAGCCTCCCCTCCTTTCCTAGCACCTTGCCTCAGACTTTTCCGCCTACAGGCAGTAGCCATTCTCCAGCAGTTTGCCCGCTCCTCAGAAAGGCTGCGACCCGCCAGGCATCCTCGACTTTCTCCTAGACTGGGGCTTCCAGGGTTCCGGGGTTCTAGTCCTGCCTGCAGCATGGCGTCCATCAACAGCATGGGGCGGCTGAACTGCTAGGAAGCCAAAAAACTTTCTCCTCACTCTTGCCCTCTGCCTGGAGAGAGCGTAAGGCTCTCCAGAGCCGAGGCGCTCTTTGTCCCTGGCACACCCCCACGGCGCCCAGCCAGCCCACGGGCATCTCCTTGACACCTCCCCGCAGACCCCTCGGTCCTGTCCTTGACTCCCGCCGGCCTGGCCGCGCCGGTTCCGGCCACTCCTAGCGGCTCTGCAGCCGCCTCCGCCAGCTCGGGTCTG